TATTTTGCGGAGAACGTTGGTACTTGGAAAGTACTCGACTACAACACTGCTTCTTGAATTGGCAACACAAAAACAACGCCCCAATTTATCAGGAAAGCAGGAATCTGGTACACTCTTTCCAAAACTTACTTAATAGACTTGTCCTTGTCCTTTGGTTTCTTGTCTTTGTCGAGCTGAAGAACCTCATGTTGTCGCTGGACACGGATATGCCTTGAGACATGAATTATATAAAACTTAGATTTCTGCATTTTGAATTAGTTTATAGTTGTGTGCATTCATCTTTAATTCCCTCACTGAAGCATAATTCATCATCTTCAGTTTAACGTCCTCCAGTCTGTTCTGCGTTGGCCTGCTTTCTTGCTATGGCTCTCCTCCACTAATATGGTGATATAATTTATCTGTTATAATCCCAGGCTGACATGCTGAAAATGTTGTTTTTTTTTGGGGGGGGCTGTACAGTGCTCTGGGTGGTTTCTTTCCACATGAAATTCTTTTGGTTCTTCCGCCTGCTGTGTTGTAAACAGCAAGAGCGAATGCTGACTATTTGGAGCGTGTCTCTAGCTGCAGTATCTGTCCATCCTCAGCTGTCATTCATCAGATTTCACCATGTGCTGTGATGCATCATAATTCCAACTGAGGTGCGGAACGCGAGCCAAAATTTTGTGATGTGCCAATTGAAGCCATCTCCCAAGGTTTGTGGCACACTGAACTGGTTGCGAGTCCCTTGACAACACATGCCAGTTGTGACAAGTCACGTTAACACAGATGTGTCTTCCTGGAGCTAGCTTCATGGAATGTGTAAGAGAATCTTGATCCCCAAGTTTAAAAGATTAAGAGCATAGATGCATTTACAAAATTTTGACATTGTTGAAAAATTGCCACATTTTGTTAAGAAATTGTTGCCCTTTTGAGGCAAACTTTGCTCATTTTTACAAAAAAGTAATCTGAAAATGCTGTATATCCTTAACATTTCTTTTTGGGGGGCTTCACTGAGGTTTGGGGGAGCATGATGAGTCCTCAAACAACACCCCCCATCCCTATCCCATACACAAGAACTAGAGAGGACTGGCATCGGAAGAGGAGTTCACATTTTCAGCAAGTCTCTGACGATCCTAAATCACCCATGGTTAGGCTAAACTGACCTATTTCCCTTCTTCAGGATCTGCTCCAAGAACCGGCTCGCTTCTCGGGCCTCAAAGTGCTTCTTCTTGAAGTGGTCCAAGTGACCAACAACTGCAACAATAAAAAGCAGAGAGAGAGAGAGAGAGAGTCCCAGTGAAAAACCCCATCAGATCATGCATATAAACAAAACAAAGAAACAAACAAACATATTCCTGACAAATGTGCAGAAACCAAAAGTGGATCGACAGCCAATTTTTCGGGGGGGGGGTTTAAGGGGGCCCAAAATTTGGGAGTTTCTCTTTGTAATCTTTTATGGCCTTGCTGGATTGAAGGTAGATTTAGGGTGTTTGACATGATGTTGAAAGAAAAGGGAAGAAAAAAGACTCCCCAAATTGCCCCACACTTACGGGGGGGGGTATTATTTATTTTTTTTACTACAAAAACAATTGCCTGTTTTTTTAAGGAGGGCATGGTCCCGTTACCCCTTCCTGGATCTGTCCTCGCCTGAAACTGAAGCAACAACTGTCAAGTGTTAAGTATAAAATGACATTATCTGATGATACAGGGGTCCATGTGTGGGGGGGGGGGAAAGGGGAGGGGGAGGGGGGAATTCTGACAATGCGATGCTCCAGGGATGGTCTGAGTCACACATCTATCACACAGGGCTTGTGCACTTTCAGACACATCTCTCTCAGCACAAACATCACCACCTTGGACTTGTCTCCGACACATGACACTTCTAGGCCACAACACTTCAGACCAGCTGTGGGTCTCACAGAGGAATTCCGAGGAGTAAATTCGGCCACACTAAGCCTGCAACTGATCTGGAGATCTCCAAAGAGCTGTTACACTATTTCTCTGACCTGATACGCCTCGCGATGATAAGCTTCTTGACTCTCAAAAGAGACAGCTTAGTCTTGTAGCGATAATGTCTCACGAGGCCGACACGCTGCATACACTCACTTATTTGCACGCAAATGGTATGCCATCTACTGCGGTAACCGGGCGTGGTACATGTACGTCTAGTCGAGTTCATCACAAGTCCCTACAAGTCCATCACATGCCCATCATAAGCTGTTCAAATGAATGTGACAAAAGCATTCCTTTGTCATACATGTACATGTATTTCACTTGATTACTTATGACAGGTCTTGAAAAAGGACTTGTGACTGGACTTGTAAAGGGACTTGTGACTGGACTTGTAAAAGGACTTGTGATGGACTTGACTATAATACTCTGAAGTGCTCCAGGTCAGACTAGTACTCGAGTAGTTTTTAAAACCCATACAATGTACTTATGAGAACGTACATGAACACGAATAAAAACTACAGTGACAGAATACTCCTACCAATGTACTCAACTGCAAAGCACACATTATCGAGATGTGAAGTGCACCAACACATGACCTCCACATTTCTGAAGATGGACACTCCTCTTCTTGTGGGGGGGGGAGGAACAGTGACAGTAAGTGGCATTTTAGAGATTTTTAACAGTGAGACAACAGGACGATTGTGAGATAGCTTGGATTACATTTTTTAAGGTTTTAATATCAACATGGTCTCTACCTAGTTCCTTGATATTTTTTGGTTTCAGGTTGATACGGTGATCATTCTCCAGATTCCCCTATGCTACAACCCTAGTGTGTCACATCATCTAGAGAACGTTGAAGAGGCATAATAACCACAGTTCTGCTGAAAGGACAACTGCTGTAGCTCCTTGGGATGTAAATGGGTGATGGGCTCTGTATTAATTTCCTCAAGGACAGGAAGGGGGAGGGAGGGGATATCCGGGGAGGGGGGAGGAGGGAGGGAAGGGATATCCCAGGGGGGGATATCCGGGGGGGGGGGGATATCCGGGGGGAGGGGGAGGGGAAAAAGAGGATGGTTCACAACACTTAATCACTCTAGCAATTCTTGTCACCTCTCCAGCTGGTATGGTACCATGTGCTTGCCAGATCTGAAGTTACATGGAACTTGAAAAGTTACAAGACATGTTTTTTTGGCTGCAGTTCTTGTTTTTTGGGGTTGGGTTTCTGGTTTAAAGATGCTAAAAATGCAAATCACATTATACTCATAAACTTTACAGTGCTTTATCAAACTTGAAGTCTGTTTTCAGTATCTTGACAAAAATAAAGCATCCACTAAGCTGGAAAGGGAGTTCTCCATTTCATCTCACAAAAATGTATTTTACCTACATTGTAGGTTAATAGGAGTTGTTCATCATAGTCAAAACTCTGAATAAATGTACATGTACTTTTAAAGAATTGACATATAGGGGTTCTCAAATCTCGTAAATAGGCTTCATGACATTACAGCAGCTTACAAGGGTTTATAGATTTTGCTAGTCCAGTGCATGACTTTGGCTTCCTGACTAGGCAGTGTCCAAAACAGGCATTACTGGCTACGACTACAGCTATTCACCTTAGTGTACTGAGGGTAAAATCCAAGCCATGGCCACAACTTGACACCTAGTTTGGAGACTGCCTCATCTGAACCACCATTGTGCCAAGATGGCCACGCAAATGGAAACACATTCAAATGAAGGTCTACAGGACTGTGAATCAATCACAACAAGTCTTTCAGTCCCAAAAGTCAAGTGAAAGCTACTCCAATGGAATGTGACAAAGGAATGCCTTCGTCACTGTTTATCCTATTACTTTTAAGGCATTATTTGTGACTGAACCTGGGTCATTTGACTTGTGACCAATCTGCCTACCAGTCATCCAATCAGGCTGTGGTGTATGACATAAATGCATAATCTAGGCCACTCAAGAAATTACCTGAGTAGGGAATGACAATGATGAAGCGCTCGCTGTCAGCCAGTAGCTGTATCAGGCCTAGGTGGTTCATGAGAGCATTGGCGTCTGGCACCAGGTAAGGGGAGAACTGGGTGTTAGCTGCCCCATCTTGGACTTGACCTTCCAGCTGCTGGATCTCATGCTGGGGGAAAATAGTTCAAACAAGAGAAAATATAATCAGAACTTGAGTGCCCTGACATACACTGTCCCAAGATTTGGAAAGTTGACACAAGAGACAACCATAGCACTTTCAGGGAGCTTTCTGAATCCTCTAAAATCAATTGTGCAAGAAACACAATCTACATGTACCTAACTCAACCCTGGAAATCCCTCCAAATGTTCTAGTGGATTTTGAAGCCGAGAATGACTCGTGTTGCCAGGGTCAATTAAAATTTTTAAAGATAATTTTGGCGTCTTTCCCAAGCTTCTTAAAAATGAATTGACACTTAACCTGCACTTCCAAAGCTTTCTCTGTGGTCAGGAATTCCAGGATCTTATTGCTGATAGAAGCCATTTTCCACTACACATTCAATCATCCTTGGGGTTTTACAAATTGCTGCATTATCACTCTCTCTGACTTCAGGTTTAAATTGTACAAGTTTAGACACTTAAGCTCTATGGAGCTCAATTTTCTTCTACAGGAAAGACCTACTGCCTGACATAAGGCTAAGGTTGAAGGAGTTCCCATTTGGTTCCAAAAGTAAATGCTCCAAACTTCACTGTGGAGCTCAGGGTGAAGGTAAAAGACAGAGATATGGCCACAGTCTGAGTACAGCATCAATAAGGCTGGGTCTAAATTACTTGGCTGTGGCTTGAAATTATACGCATGCACATGGTAGTGGCTGTAACCACTACCCATTGAGTCGTGTATAGATCCAAGCCTAAACCGAGCAATTTGGACACTACCTGACTAGTCAAAATAAAGTCTGTGAACAGCCACCAGGTGAATGCCCTCTTCTCTGACACAGGTCAATTCTCTAAAGTCTACACTCAAAATCAAGCAGGCAATTGTGTTCTGCATATCTGTGTGCAGGTTTATACAATGTTGAATTACAGGACACTGTCAAGTAACACAAGTTTCAAAGCTCTGAGGACATTGCCCACCCACACTTCAATCTAAAGAAGAGGACAATTGTTTGTCCCAATCATCAGCACAAACATTCCATGGGCTGACCAATCATGAACTGACTGTGACAAACATCAGATTGACTTTAGAAGAGAAATCAGAAGCAGAGGCAAATAGTCCAGTGCTGTGTTTGTGATTAATTGATTGAATTTGGCTCATCGAGACATTTGGTTGGAATGCAGAGCCTGGGCTGACTGCTTTGGTTAACAGATGACAAGCTTATTCTTGCACGGAATACACCCTGCCCGACAGTCTGCCAGCACGTGTGAGAACGTGAGACCTCTCCATATGAACCAGACTGTTTAATGCTCTTGTCAAGGGCAAGGTGCACAGTTGCCAAAGCGTAAGTGAAATCTGCTAAGATAGAGCAAAGGAAAAAATGTAAACATTGCTTTGATCTATCCTGGTTCTCAATCAACTTAAAGGTAGTGTACACCATAGGTAAAATCCCCCAAATCGGGCTACCATATAATCCTGAAATATGTTACTTGAAAGAAAGTATATAAATAACAGCCTCAATCAGTCTGTAAAATATTTCCGCTCAGAATTTTGTAGTTTTCAAGAAAACAGAAATTTTGTTCTCTTTTTTCATGATGGTCTTTTAAGAGTTCATTCACTTTGCACATCACATTCTTTAACAGGTGCCAATTTTCTAACGTGTACGGTTTGCAGATGTTGTGTGAGTTTCCATTAATGAACAGGTAAACCTAAAAGCTGCTAAAAAATATGCAGACAGAAATTCACCAAAAGCAGGAACATGAGTGTAAGGTGTAAAGTAGGAAACAAATTGGATCAATTTGAAGTTAAATTTTATTTGCGGAAAGGATTTTCATAATGCGAAACTAAAACTTTGTGAATTCAAAATCATCCCTAGAGCATAATGGTATGATCAAAATATGGTGGCTGCTTCTGAGCAGAATGGTGAAAGGGATTTTTGTCAACAAAAGGTATAATTTCCACTCGTTAAACCTCTTGTGTTTCAAAACATAATTTCTTCATTGCTTGTAATTGTTGGTGAATCAACTACAAATAGAGTTTTTAGACTTTCATCAACGAGTACACTGATGTGAATTTGTGTTCATTAAGCGTGATCGCGCGCACACGCATTATCCTTTTAGGCCTACTCATTTCAGTATCAGGGACACAAGTCAACTGCATTCCTGGATGAAGATTTCTCATGAATCTGCAATTAATGCTACATTGTCAAGGAGGCCCATCACTCCAAGGTAAATTCACTGATGACTCCTAGCCATTGAAAACTACTCCTTTTTTAAGAGAATGAGAGCCTGTCATGCCTGTTTTCCAACCTGATCCCGCAGATGTTGTTTGCTTTATACTACGAATGCTATGTAATCCACAAATTTTACGCAGGATAAATTACAAGATCTTCGCCTTAAGCGTTGATAATGCCGTGCTGTTTTTCTCATTTTTCACAAAGCAGTTGACTCAGACATGAAACAAGTCAGTGGAATGTAAGTCGTAGTGAATATTATATGCTGTAATCAGCCAATCTTGTGAAATTATGACCTAAAAAACCAATGGTGTTCACAACCTTTAAGAATCCCCCTCTACCCAAAAGGAAAAAGCAGCAGTAACAGCTGCTGCTGCTGCCGCCACGCCACTGCCACCCCCCCCCCATCCTGTTCACAGACTGTACATTTTCTGGGTCCAAAAGACCTTATTTCACTGTCCATTTTTAAAATGTGGTTTGAAACATGAAAATATAATTCATCACAATTGGAAATCATTCAGAAGCATAAATGGCATTAATTTGTAACAAACTTTGATTTCATTGTTTCACTTGTATTCTTAGGCCGTCAGAATTTAAAGCTAACCTCGCTTCGAATTCAAAATAGCTGACTTGTGAAAATAAATGTGCTCAGCAGGATCTTCTGCTTAAGAGCTCTATGACACTGAGGCTGCATCCGAATCTGTTGTCGAGAGCTAGGTCTAGGTCTTCGCTCCATTGGAAATGTGTAGAAACGCGGAAACAATAGACCTAGCCATAGCTCTGGAACCCCGTTTCGGACACGGCCTGAGTTCCCAGCTTTGCGGTATACATGTACTTAATAGTTCTGTAAATAAAATTGCAGTGTCAAAGTCAAGTACTTTTCAAAAACCAAATAATGAACTAAGGGTGAGCAAAGTTGGAGAACATGGACACAGGATGGTAGATGCACGAAGATAAGAGCGCAAAATAAAGACTTTAAGAAATTAAGAAATTCTCAGAAAAGTACTCAAAAACTACTGTACTCAGCTGAGTATTTGTTTAGTATTTTGTCTTTAATTTGTTTTTATCTTTTTTTAAGCTATTTTTTTCATAAAAGTGATAGTTTGTGGTCATCCATTTCCCAGTATTTGTAGTCTTACCTATGTGCATCTCCCCCCATTCAATGTCCATGTTCTCTAGCTTTGTTCACACCTAAGTTATTCCATGTTTTGCGATCAACTCGGTATGCGAATCGTTCTTGACTACAACAATGACAATTTCGGCTCACATCTCACCTCCAGCCACCTGACAGCCAGATCCTTCATCATCTGGGTGCGTCGCTCTTCCTTCTCTGCCTGAGGGAAGAGAAGTCATGATCAAGAGATCAGCGTTACATGTACATGGTACCACAGCAGCTGGATACAAAAAACAGTCTGTCATGGCGTTAAGGAGTCCATTTCCAGGTCTCATGAAACAGCCAAGCTACTCATGATGGCTTGATAACCCCAGTGGATCGGAGTTGGGGGGGAATTGACTGAGGGTATGGGGTCATTTTCTGGCTCCCCAAGTTTTAATTAAAACCAGATCATGAGGTGACAAAGTGAAAAAAATCTTAGCAACCCAGGCAATGTTGGCTGTGTTCTTGAGATTACCACAGACAGACTACCAGGAATTGGGTACACAAGAAATGTTCAATATTTGCAAGAGGACTTGGGTTTTCAAAGTTGTCCTGACAATATATGTTCTTCACTGCTCCATGCAATTTTAATTCCATATGAATTTGTGTTACTTTTTTGTGTTAATTTGTTAATTGCCTGTTATTTTACGGAACCTTTGCCATGTTTAACTGCTGTTTCAATCTGTGAAGAGCATTGAGATTCTGTACTTTTTGCTTGTATTAATATAATGTGCTATATAAACTTATTTACAGCATGCATTTTGGCCCAATTTCTTAGATTCATATATATACATTAGTGACAGCCTAAGGCTGCATCCAAATCTGTTGTCTAGAGCTAGGTCTAAGTCTTCACTCCAATGGAAATACGAAGAGACATGCAGACAATAGGCATAGCTGTAGCTCTGGAAGCCTGTTTAGGACACGGCCTACGTATTTGGCCCACATGATCTAGTTCATCATGCTTCAACAGAACTATGTCAAAATTTCACCTGTCAGATCTGTGAAAAGGTTTTGACTACGCCTCTGTTTATGGCTCAGCTGCATCATAATATTGGCAGACAAAATTCAGTGGAGCAGCATGAGAGAGAGATAGCAAGGGCGAGACAGCAAGACTGACAAAATCTTTGACAGAGTGGGGCAAGCCTTCAACTTCTAAGGGCAGAGTGGCTTTGAATAGACAAGGGAATGACTGCTGAAAATAAGAGGAGCCTGGAATGGATTGAGGGGCAGTTGATTGACAGATTAATGACAGCCTTCATGTTGTCTGTCTAGGAACAGAATCAAAGAATATATTTTCAAATGGATGACACATGATATGGATGATGCATGATACTCTATATTTCACTCCTTTTTTACTAGACACTGGTGAGCACAGGTTAACTTTCTCCACATTCTCACTAATTTCATCAACTTCCCAGACCAGAAGGTTACTTCTGGAAGTGATGAAGTGCATACAATGAGACAGAACTTCAGCCCTTTCCTATAGAGGGATTTCACATGAGCGCCGTCTGCGCATATCTGCATCAAAACCGAGGCTCTCTGTGTTGAACTTCATCGCGCGTGCCCGCGGAGTCCACACAGTACATGGAGTATCCGGTTCGTAAGTGTGACGACACTTCAGTTTAAACCACGCCCACTGCATAAGATACACGACCATCGCTGGTACGTTAGTTCGCGGTCAATTGTCGTTATTTTTTCTTTTGATTTTACGTGTCGAGTCATCCTGAAAGACTCTTCCACAAAAATGTGCAGCCTGAAAAGTCTGAATTTAACATACCTTTATGTATTTTGTGTCTTAACTCCTTACTTTCAATCGTCTGATCGTATTAAGAATTGAAGCTGACACATACAGCTTCGTTTTCAAACGTGGAAGTGCGCAGATCGACACTAAAAGCGTTGTATTGGGATCCATCTATTTGGGAAGTGGTTCAATAGCAAAAGTTTAAACACAGGCCTATTCCATACGAGGTCCAATCATTAAAATTAGATTCCTGTTCGTTAAGAACACCTGTCAACTGTAGACGGAATTTAGATTTTGTCTCCTTGAAATATTTACACATGTAAATGTCACTTTAATATGATGGATCTGTCTGACTTGAGAGGCAAGGGCAAAGCAGAAAGACAACACAATCAAGTGCCCCACAAACCTGAGTAAGAAACGATAAAGATCAAACGCTGCATCTGGCATGTTCAAGTGGCAATACACAAATGCCAAGCACAAAAGAAGGGAAATGAGACTTCTGCTGACTTGACCTTTAGATGGATGGCCTGGGGCCCATGGAGAAGGATGTGCACTCCCTCCTTTTGTTTTGGCAAAAACTAAAGGTTATTCTCAACAAATTCCCTAAAATTAGCTAACTCCAGTTTTTTGCTTGATGATCTGAGTCCCACCTAGTACTTTTTGGATCACCACGGGGAAGGGGAGGGGGCTTAGGAGGGTCTCAAGCCAGCTACAGCAAGTCCAAATGAAAACCCTGCAATATTTCAAAAATGTCCAAACGAAAATGCTGCACTTTTCAATTGAGAACTTACTGTTCCTTCTTAGACTTTGACATGTGTCCCTGAATGGGAATAGTGGTCTTTGTGCATGCACCCTGACTTGGGAACTCTTCGGTCCCATTTAATGTGAATATAGCAAATTGGGAACAAATGTTCCATAAAGGAGCCTTCCACTGGGAATAGGTCCCTCCTGACTTTTCCAACATTTCCTTTTGTCAAATTGGTTGAGGTAAACATCTGGAAAAGTCTGCTGAAGGTGCTTACAGCAAGACTTGACATTAAGCATATGTGACTCACAAATCCTTAAGAAATTCCAAGAAACTGGACTGTGGACTGCCGATGTTGCAAACAAAAATAGGAACATTTGAAACCTAATCTGTCTTCCATGCTGCCAAAATATAATCCCTCTAAGCCAGGACAAAATTAGCAGGGGCTTTGGAACTGATTTAATTACTGAGACAGCTTTGAGGTTTCTTTTTTTTTGGAGGGGGGAGGGTTTGAGGTGGAGGGGACAGGGGTCTGGGTGTAAAATCAGTTCAACTATTCTTTCCCAGAACTTCAATGACTGGTCTGCAAACCCATTGGATGGGAGAGGAGGATGGAGGCCAATATGACAAATCCAATTACAGGTTTTCCCACTACCACATACACTGACCTGATGATCAACTTATCAGTCGAAGTCCTAAACAGTACCCCTGGACTTGTGGGGGCAGCATATGATGTTTAGTCAGAACAGTGATGGTTGGCCCCACTGGGTGATTGAAACCCACAAACCAAATGTGGTTTGCATTAAATTTGGTTCCCATTATCCATGCCTTTCCTATCCACTCCCTTCACTGGGGGCACACTGTCATCAGTTTCAACCTGATAAGGGCTGTAAGTAGTACTGCCCAATTTTTCATGACATCACCACTGCAACCGTATGGATGGATATTTTTATCTGCGTAAAAATGTAATAAACATTGACAGGTCATAAAATGCATGTACCCTTATAATCTACTACCCGGGCCCTTTGAAGAGAATATGGTCTGACACCAGAAATTTCTGTGCATTTGAAGCATTTTTCATAATAAGAAAGCAACAGAAAAACAGGAGGTTCTGATCTGAGCTATTTTCTTCAAAATCTGCGGGGAGTTTCCCACCATCAACTGGTGATTTTCTGATGACCGTGACTGACGTAAACAGGGTAAAGAGAGAAGAGTGTCAGCCACAGTTGTGAACTGATCCATAAAGGTCAGGTCTATGACTAACGAATATGGGGTGAGGGGGGAGGTAAGCTGCCAGCCGCAATTACTCTGACACACGTCAGGATGAGCAGGTATTTTACCGCGCTCCATCACCGCAGCCATTGTCAACATCAAAATCCCTTTCTATCCCGACTGCCACAGACACGGCCGCTTGGAGCCCAACAACACGACACGTTCCAGTAAACACACAGGCGTGTGCACGGCTAACAGGAAGGAGCAAGTTTCAGAAGGGAAATTCAATGAGGAATCCATCTGCACTTTTTTCCTGATGAAATTGGGAATTGTCCGGCGATAGAGTCATCTTGTACAAGCTTCTTTTTTTTTTTCTCTCTCTCTCTCCACCTCCCGACATATTACGCAGCGCGGGGCTGCTTTCGAAGTGTGCCATCAGATCTGAGATCTAATGCAAAGAGGATGTGTGAGACTGTAGATTCAAACAAAGTCCCTATCTTTCGACACAGACTCAATCACTAGTGAGAGATCCAAGGTCATATAAATAATGCCTCAAATGCATGCGTACATAAAAACTGGGGGGGGGGGAACCACTATATTCAACCATATCCTCTTCAAGAGATGTGGGGGGGGAAGGGTCTTCAAAAAAGTTGGCTGCCTTTGTATCTGCCTTGTACATTGGTAAACACTCAGACTGGATTAGACCTGTCTCCTGTTTAACCAGCCACTTGATTAATTTGCTTTTTATCTGATTTGAACAGGGCCGGTCCAAGTTAATATCGACAGATAACCATCAGAATATTTCTATCAATCCTGGCAGTCACCCACCTTGTGTTTGCCTTTTTGGTTCGTGCCCTTTGAGCCCCGGGCTCTCCCCTCCCTCTCTGTGTTTGCTGGGGCATTTATGGCGCGCTTGTGTCACCAAACATCAAATTTGTGATGGAGTTGAGCATTATTAGTATCGTTCTGTTTGTTGAGATGAGCTTCAGCTTTCTTGACCAAGTAGTTGATTCTCTAACAAACACCCCCCTAAAAGTGCAAGGCTGTGTTAACTACTTACTGATTGAGAGGTACCAAATGACCCTCAAAGAAAAGGTGTGTCATTTTCTTATGCTCCAACATTGATCTATGAACAAAAATATTGCAATAGTCAATCAGTTTCTTACAGCTTATCATGTAATATTAGTAAAGCCCAAAGACTGTATATTTAATAGTGTTATCACAACCAAAGCAGTGGCATGATCACAATACATTTTAAACAATGAAAGGAGGGAAGGCAATTTCCTTCCCTAGGCTCTGAAGATACAAGAAAATACTAAATTCTGGAATATCTGGTGCCTATATATTTATTTCCATCATCCCTGTTTTCCATTCATGATCAATTTTTATTGTGCCAATTTTGCACTCAGAATCGATCTGCAGTCCCAATTGTGTTTCTATCAGAATTCCTCTTTTGCTCTGAAATTGTTTTCCAGCATGT